TGGCTTGCCTCCCAGTACCGGCTCTGGACTTCGGACTGACGTGCGAGACATGGACTCCAAGAGACGCCTTCGACATGCTATACTTGCTGCCAAGAGGAGGACACAGTAGATCATATCCTCGCTAGATGTGTTTATGTGAGGCAAGTCTGGAGTGGTTGCTTCCAGTTGCTGCAAATCAACATCCAAATCCCAAGTCCCGAGGACACATTCATGGAGTGGCGGGACAAGGCTCGGAAGTCCTTCCATGGAAAGCTCAAGAGAGGTTTTGACCCGCTTGTCATCTTGACCATGTGGCATCTATGGAAACAGAGGAACGCAAGAGTGTTCAACTGGAATGATCAAGTGCGCTCGGACATCAACCTTCTTCAGCTCATCCACGAGGAGATCAAGCTTTGGAAGAAGGCGGATATAGGAGTTGAGGGTTTAGATAGATTCGTGAGAGAGTAGTTTTTCTGTTCTTTTTTGGAGCTGGAGTAACCGTGTAGGCATTTTCGTCATAGCACGGTTTCTTGTAAAACATTTTTCTCCCTTCTATGATAATACGGTACGTCTTTGACGTACTCTCGAAAAAAAAAGAACTCCGAGATCGCCACACGTACGAACTAATCGTACTGCTAATAATTTGCATTCCTTACTTGTAATGGAATATCATGCTCAAGTAATACTTATAATACTGCAGGTGAAACCATGCCTAATGAACCAGCGCCACAGCTTCTAGTAGAAGGAAAACGGCAGACGTTCAACGAGAGAGCTGACCAAAATCAACCTGCACGTATCTAGTTTAATCGTTTCGATAGATTGTGTGACTGACGATCGGCGGCTCATCGTCATTACTCATTCGCCTCGCTGTACGCGTACTTTACCATGAAACGGTAATATACCCGAGCTGACGTGCTTGTGCAGTGTATCTGTGTATGCACGGGGAGCACTGTTGTAGTGGAGGCTGAGCAAACCTCCGCTTTCGTGTTTGAGGAAACATGTTTTTCGTCTTGCGGATTGTTGTCTCCGCTTTCGTGTGGTGCGGCGGCCGATCGTTAGTGGAGGCTCCGTTGGTCTGTTGTTTACCCCTACCGGGTCGCACATACAGTAGTACGTTACCACCACCAACAAAAAAAAAAAAAGATCAATCAACACTACCGTTTCTCTTTGTGTGATATAAAAAAAGAGTAAGAATACCACCCTGGATGCAAACCTCAGCTGTCTGATCCGGCAAGATGCGCTGACGTTAGGATTTGGAGGACCCATAACCCATGTCACGTCGCGTTTCGCCCGGCTTTAGCTTTGGGGCAGGCAGGCCATGCAGATGCAGGGAACGAAGCTGTCAGCCTCCAAAAGTTGATGTGGCAAATGCGATGTGACTCGTGACGCCGACCCAATTTGGCACGGAGACCCGACGGCCGACGGGATCCAAAATCAACGTCGCGACGTTCTTCTCCCACAAAAGAAAACGGGATATCCGGACACCTCGCGTTGTCGCATTTCGCCCACAGTTTACCGCAACAAAATCATTTCGGGCGTGTCATTTCGCACTCGTGTAGCACGCTAGAAAAAGAGAGAGAATTGCACTTGCCCGGTTCCCCGCACGGCAGACGGGATTGGGACAAATTCTTCGTGGTAGCGGGCTGTGGGCTGTGAGCTGAGCGTGCGGTGGGCAGGCACAGGACATGGTGGGCTTTTACGCGGACCTGCCCATCACAAAGTAAGCTTCCCTCGTTTTTTTTCCTTCAGAAAGTAGGCTCGCTAATGGTAAACTTACATAGTAAAATACATTATTAGCCTAAAAAAAGTAAAACATATATATTGGAAAACCACGTTCACCTGCAACATGATGAACTAATTGCACAGTTTCGACTATGTAAGCTTTTTATATGAGAATATATTTGCTAGTCTGGCATCCACATCATTGTTTAACAAAAAAACTATCTCCTGAGCAGGCTCAGGTACGGCACTTCACTGCAGTTTGATCTTTGATGGCACATGTACAATTTGCGCGCCCAGTTGCTACCAAAGCAAATCTGCTACTCAAATATTCTCGACACCATCACCGAGGGTCAACTGTGCTAGTGCGCACCATTACAGTACTCTCAGATGTTGCGTCAAATATGCATTCTGGGAACAAGACAAGACAGCCGAGGTAACACACCTTGCTGCATCAAAACAAAAAGCTCGTGCTGGTACTTTGATCCACATATGAAGTTGAAAAATACATCGAACTGCTTTCAAAACTTGGCACGAGTGTGCAAATACAGTGTTAATCCTATTAATAGACATTTTTATGTTGATGTGGCACCGTAGTTCGCTTAGCATGCACATACAACCTCGCCCTAGCAAACTGGAACTACTGGCCAGTATGCCATACGTTTTCTCGTGCCTGTTAATGAAAACAGATCCTTTTTCTTAGAATAATGAAAACATTTCCTATTATTTTAGATAAAGAGACACATACGTGGGTTTTAATCGGCTCAGCAGCGCAGCCCCGTTTGCGCATGTTAGTTTCATTTAGAAATTTGTAAAAAGTTTGTAAATTATAATCACAGTAATAAAAATATTCACATATTTGTTTTAAACATATCCTATAAATAAAATGGTATTTCTGATTATAAAAATGGTTGTACAATTTAGAATTATATAAATATTTTCTATACTACAATTCATAAATATTATTTTAACTACATAAACCTTTTAATAGTTACATGTACATTTTTACGATTCATATTGTTTAAGAAATTCTCAATAATGTAAAATGTTCATAAATATGCAAAATTTAAAATTTCAGTTTATAAAAAATATTCACTCCAGACTATAGTTTAATTTTAAAAAAAATATGAATATATGACACGATGAAAGTTATACACATGTTTCTCACAAAAAAAGAAAGTTATACACATGTGAATATTAATAAAAAATGTTTCTACTTATATTTTTTTTCATTTAAGCATAATCCAAGCATGCATAATTTTTTGCTAGGAGGTTGTCTGTGCATGCTAAGCAAACTACGGTGCCACGTCAGCATAAAAACGTCTACTAATAGGATTAGCACCGTATTTGCAGGCTCGTGCCAAGTTTTGAAACCAGTTCGGTGTATTTTTTAACTTCAGGCACTAAAGTGAACATCGGTGGCAAGTTTAAGCACCACCTGTGATATTACCTCAAACAAAAAGCTCGTGCTGGTACTTTGATCCACCACGCGAAAATTATCTGATAGTATTAAACATAAAATTTAGCTGCAAACGATGATCAAAACAGCATGCCATCCGGTTGGTACTTTGGTCCAAGAAATTTATCTGAGAATATGAACAGAAACTACACATTGCCTGCACAAAGGGCTAAGCTACAGACTGCCTGCAAATCAAACTCTACCCTAGACTGGATAGCCACAAGTGCCACAGCTTGAATTGACTAATAAAATCAAATCAAAGCTCTACACACAATTAGGATAGCCAATAGTACGCATTGACACACACTGGACCTGGAGTATCGTCACACCACATTCTGTACCAGCAATGGGACAATCTTCACACAGAAATGCAAGACCGAGAAAGGCATGTATCCCTGTAACACATCATCACATGGTGTTGCGTTTTCTCACCATGTTTGCCCACTTACCGCGATGAAAATGCATGTGAAGCACCGGTAGGAGGCAACGTAAATCAGCTAGCAAGCTTGAAGGCATCAATGAAGAGGCCATATGTGAAACCCATCTTGAAATTGTTGAGGAGCGCGACGGCGAAGGTAACCTTAGGCCGGCTGTAGTAGAACTTTGTCACGTACTCGGTCAGGAGCACACACACAACTGCTGCTATAACATCGTTCACGCCCAAAGCACCGAACGACAGGGATATTGTCTGTGCAACATAAAAGCCACCCAGTAGCGCGATGCCGCCGAAAAGAGCTCTCCTGGACCCGCTTTTGAAATAGTTTCTTGACAGCTCTGGGATGATTCGGATTATGTCAATCAGCCTTCTACGACCATCATTTCCCTGCAGGGCACGGACCTTGAGAAACTTGTAGGAGGATTTCCGTGGGAAGTTCTTGTAGCTCGGTGAGAGTACCCTTGTTCCCGTATATAAACCATAGTTGGCAAGGCCAATGGCAATATAATTTGGCGCACACGCCATAAAGAAACACCGTCACCGCCTGAAGATTTTTTCTAAATAAAAACATAGACATGCAATTAGATATGATGTTGTTGCCCCGATGACAAGAATTAGCAGGAAACTAGTATGATTAAGTCGAGAAAAGAAAAAAAGACCAAGCAGGGCAGGAGAGAAGGTTTCACACAAGTAGTGGTAGGGAAAAAAAGAACAATACCAGTGTCACCTACAGGCTATGACATATCTGAAGAAACCGAAGATGCAGTTTCTAGAGAAGAGAAACCAAAAGTCCAGGTAAAGACCGTTTTAGCTAATCTTTTGCAAAGTATGGTAATTCAGAAATGCCGTATTTCCTTGGAGATCCTACTAGGAAGTATACCAAAGATTTCCAACAGCTGAAAATGCTAGACCAGAATGATGCATTAGCTTGCTAGCAATTCCAGAGTACAAATCGCAGGGGAACACTTGCAATGGTTCACACTTCACAGGCATCAAGCATGTTAAAGTGGGTAAACTGTATCTTTCGACAATGGCGTATGGCACTGTTGGATCCATGTAACACTGCACTCCAGATGTGACTCAATTTGTAGCTATCTATGAAATATTTGTCTCAAGAAAATATGTTTACATACATTCTGCAGCCAGAAAGCAACCCCACAGCGATTTCGGCTGAAAAGCCTGATAATATCGGACAGCTAAGGCAGCGCACACTATCCCCAATTAACAGATCTGGCAAAAGGAACTACTATCACGCAACAAGAACTTCCGACTGACAAAACAATGAATTTGCTAACACTTGACTAAAGCCCGTTAATGCCATATGCCTAACAGTAAGCGCTACCAAATAACAAGGGGAAAACATGATTTGCCTCTGGGATAAAGTTCAAACTCACCTGTGCTCCCCAAATGGCAGAGAAGATTCTGCAGTGGAATTGCGTCGAGCAGCTGGCGCGCGAACTACAACCACCCAGGAAATCAAGTGTTTCAGGGCAGGTGAGTCGACAATTCGCTCCCCAGATTTCACCTACGGAGGCGGACGGATTTAGCCAAGAAACGAAAGAGATCAGGAGGCAACGAATTGATGGAAAAAGGAAGAAGCGAGGCTGAGACTGAGACTGAGAGAGGAAGGGGAGAGATGAGGGAGGTGTGGTGTGGCGGACTAGGCTATGCGGGCTGCGACTTTCTACGTCTGTGTGACCGGGGCCCCACCGTCAGAGCCATGAGCTACTACAGTAGATTGTATACACATTACAGTTACAGGAGCGTTTTCTTTTACCGAAATACCCTCCGCCACTAGGGTTTATCCCCTACCTCCGCCACCCCCAAAACCTCCATGGCCGGGGCGCCACCAAACCCCACCACCGCCGCCGCCTCTGCCTCCATTTCCACGGCCCATCCGCCGCCCCTCCCCACCCCCACCCCTGCCCCCGCCGACCCATGATAACCCGCCGTGCGGCGGCGGTAGCCCTACGCGCCTCCCTG